TGCATAGCATTTATAATTGTATTTTCTTTGGAAAAAGAATTAATTTAAAACTTTTCTCTAATAGTTACTGTGTTGCTTCACCTGTTTATGTAGCTTACAAGTGATATTAAAAAAGATACTGGACAAGTATGAAGAATGAAAGCATTCTCCGTATCAGGCAGTGGCAAATACTGGAAAAGCTGACTGAAAAGATGTCGGATTAAAAACATTATGTTTCTCGGAGAAATCATTGCATTTTATCAGAAAAAGAAAGCTGTTCAGATAAAGGGTCAGATCTGCCACTTTCTATTAGAACTGAGTAAATTCTTTAAAAGCACAGCTGATCATCTTTGAATTTCAGAGAATACTCACAAGATGATTTTGGAATCTGTTGGTAAAAAGGCCTCTGCTTTGGAGTGTAGATCTTTCCAGGATAATGAGAACAAATGATTGCAAAGTTTCAGTGCCTCTTCAAAGGAGAACAGACTGTAAGATGAAATTTTAACCTTCTTTCTTCACTTCTGAGACATGGCTAAATGATAGGCTTATAAAGTCTCTTAAATCGTAGCTTGGAGGTTGAGACCATGAGGAGTCCGCATTCCTGAAACACTAATGAGAAATGCTGGGTTTGCCTCAGCTCTTTCCCAGATGTAGATACTCACTGCCAGGAAAAGGGGACCCATCCATATGGCTTGTGTTCCTCCTTCTGCACTAGCAGAGACGTGGCCAATTAACACCTGCAGCCTACCTCACAGGACTCTTATGTGAGGAGGACTCTTCAAGCACGAAAAAAAATTTGCCTTCTACCCACCTCCAACACCACTGGTAATCCATTTGCAGAGGGAGAAGTTCCAGCTTTTTTCCCACATGCACAAGTGGGTAATATGTTAATTCAGCAAAGCAGAACGTGCATCTTGCCTCCCTGCTCCTAAGACAAAAGTCCATGTTTTTTCCAGGATCTACATTTCCCTATATATGTCTCAAAGGAAGAACTCCCTTCCCCTCCATGCCTCAAAAAGATGTCCCAATGAACAAAGCATTAATTCCCTTCTTAGACAATAAAATGATTGCAAAATATGATAAAACAGGATTAGAAATTAAATATGTGGGGGTAGCAAAGTAGTTGCTGACCAGTATATGGTATGTGGAAAATACTTTTTCAATAGATAATGATAATGATAGTAACAGATTAAAAAAAAACCAAAATAATCCAAATCTTGGATTCTTTTAATTATCACTATTTTTTTTAAGAGCCTAAATTTGAATATGTCTATTATCTGAGCTGGGGGAAGAGGTTCTTTAATATGCTGCTGTAGTACCATGTTAGATCCCAAACCTACTGCTCAAGGATCAAATTTGCATGCAAAATGCATGGCACTTATTTTTGTCACCTATCTATAGATAGTTCTTCTGGCTTATCTTTTACTGTAAATTGTCCTTGTTACAACAGTTATCCCTTTTAGCCTGACTTACAGTCCTAAATTTAACTTCATCCCACACAAATCTGGCATTCACACTGCTTTTTATTCAAAATTTTTTACATCAGGAATGTAGAATTCTGAAGGTGAGAGGATTTTTTTTTTTTTAAAGAAAAGGATTCATAAGCAAAATAAATTAAGTCTCCATCATCTTAGTCTTTATTTTTTTTTTATATTTTCCTATATTTCAACTTTAACAGGATAAGAAATGTGTAGGATCTGTGATAGGCATAAAATTGTAAAAGAAAGCATGTATAAATCCAGAGAAATAAGTAGGAGTAGAATGCAAATACACAGTATGTCAATATTACGGCTTCTCTTAAAACAATTATTTTAGTTAAGTGGAAATACATGGTCATGGAGGTATTTTTTTCTTCGTTGCAATTTCATTATGATTTCACAGGAGTCTCAGTTTCAGTGTTTTGAATTTGTGTTGGATTTAAAAAAATCGTCATGTGCAAGCAGTGCTAAACCTGGGCTCAAGATCACCTGTGGGTTTTCAAGGAAAAAGCCCTATGGAAAATGCAACAGTAAACTCTGTGTGTGTGTGATTTTGTGTATGCTGACAGACATCAATCAAAAGTGTTTTTAGGTTAAAAATCCACTGTGATGTCATCTCATTTTAATTAAATGAAAGAAACGAATCTTTTTGAAAAATCTCTTTGCAATAGGTATATTTTTTCCTTATCGTTTGGCAAAAAATCTTTATTTTTAGGGGTGAAAAAGAAAAGAAAAATGAGAAAATATATGCAGATGCATTTGTGAGCCAAATTTACTGAGGGAGGCAAATTAAAATCCCACTCAATAGGTTCTTCTCATTCCTTTTTTTCAAAGCTTTCTTCACTTCAGTTGTTCCCAAACTGTGGTTTGTGGAGAAGTATTAAAAAGGCAAATTCAGTTTATTTTCAGTTAAAAGTTTGTTCATAAGTAATATGGTAACCTGAGAGAAAACAATCTGGTTTTGTTTCAAAAAAGTTTTAAGGCTGTTTCTATAAGGCAGAATACAGAGAGTATAACCACCAGCTGTGCTCCATCTCACTTGTGTGCGATCGGGTTACCATGACCAAATACCCTCCAGAAGATCCAGCTCAAACCAAGGGATAATCTAGTTTTTGAGATATTACCAGCTGGAAAGAGACAGGGACAATATACCTTTCTCTTTTGTCTCGTTAACCTACTTTAAGTCAGTCATTTTGGGTGCAAGAAGCCCGGAATCTCTTACATGACTTAGGCTTTTTGTTGGAGGTGTCAACATTTGAGTATGAACGTGTAAAAGAAGTTGCACATGCCAGCAGTGGAATTTTTGAAATGTGTAAATGCTTTAGCCCTATGAAAACGCTCTGTAATAACAGAGCTGAGCACTAGTCACCCATTTAAAAAGTACAAAATTGCCAAATATTTAGTAATGAATCATTTGCTCTTGTGGTGAGGTTCCTGTCAGGTTGCAACACATATTTGTACAGCACTATATATTTGTTGGTCTCGATTTCCATACATTCAGATCAGACTGTTGAGGGCTTATTCTGATGTGGAAGTCCTGGCAGTGTTGGTCGTAATTGTCAACTGTCTTAGTAATGGAGGAGACCCACTAGGACCTGCTCTTCGTTGGCTCATGTTAGAAGAGCAGTTAAGATCCGCTACTTTCTTGCTCTGTTTTGCAAAGCAAGGATCTCTGCGGTGTGCAAGCTAAAGAGTGAAAGGAATCACAATCTGAGAAGGCACAGGCTAAGTGGAATTAAAGCGTGGTAGTCATGCGCTGTTTCTCCAGACTGCCAACTGCAATGCGAGCCTAGCAGGTTCTGCAAAATTGAAAGTTTTGCTGGAAATTGTGTGATTCCTTTAGTATTCTGTGGCAACCACATTGTGCATTCTTCATTTGCATAATGCTGACCTTCAGGTTGTCTTTGTTTCTTATATGAAGGTTAATTGTAAGCATACAGGAAGACTTACGGTCGATTTGCTTTGTGGGTAGGAGGTGCACACAAAAAGAATATTCTGGCAAGAGTATTCTGGACAGTTATGTGAGAAACCAGATCTCTCATGTTCTGGAAGATACGATGGAAAAGTCAACCATTTTGAGAATTACAAGGTATTTTGCTCGCATTGACCAAGCTATTCCAACTCATACTAAAATCTCCCTAGGGCATCCCAGTTCCACCCTTGTCTTTGAGCTCTGGATTGCTGTCTTACCTGTACACTCCCTTAAACAGACAGACAAACAGTGTCTGGTGAAAAGGGAGACAAACGATTTCTAATATATCTCTGAGGAGAAGAGGAAAAAGAGCAATTAAAGGGTTAACTTCAGTGCTGCGTAAAGGCAACATGGAGAAGAAAAGGAACATGTAGATGACTGGTTTTATTACTTCCCTCGAAACTATTATTTTTGTCTCAGAAATCTCATTTCAGATTGAAGTGAGGAACAAATTGCCTTATATTAGACAACAGCACTGTAACAGTATGCTGTGAGTTAAGGCAAATGGATTTAATTAATCAAGCTACGTGTGCTCAGATTCAGAAGCGCATGTCTTCTGACATCTGTTTATATCTTCTCTTACAATTGTCATTGTGCTTCCTTATTTTTTTGCCATATCACAACTTCTTTTAACATAGCTAACTTTTTTTTTTTTTTCCCTGTATTATCCTTAACATGTGATTATGAAGAAGCATCTGTGCCCTGTGACGACCACGTGCCGAGTGACTGCTGCTGCCTAATGTAGTCACAAGGTGTAGAAACAGCTCAGTGCTTGGCAGGAACAAAAAAGTGTGCTGGAGGAATTTGCTTCCCAGCACGATGAAATTCTCTATGACTATTTTGATCCCGCATGAGACTTGTGAAATACTGAAGTCCTGAAGTGATTATAATTTGCTCCTGACTTTCGGTATTTTTGATTTTTGGGACAGCATCGCTCCATGCAAAAGACATCTGAACAATTCTGTGTTTCAGTGGATACACTCCAAACGTACCATTTTCTCACTCTCTTCCTTCTTGCTGGAATCTGCAATAGATAGATTTACTGCAGATTTCAAACCTGTCAACACCCGAATGTGTGACACCAGCTCTCGATACATGTGAAAGAGCTAAGCTGAGGGACATGATAATATGTAGCAGGGGAAGAAGATAGAAGTTCTACAGAATACATTTTGCTCAGTACAGAAAACTTTTCTATGAACTCCATTTTGAAATTGAGCAACTCTGATATCAGCCTGCAGTTATCAGGGAGTCAGAAAACAGTAGGACAGGAGTTTGGACTTCATGACTCTCCCTTGTACTAGAATGTTAGAGGAATCTGTTTGTGCTTATACTGCGGAGAGTTTTATGAGCTGCTCAAATCACAAAACTGAAAGTTATTAAGAATACATACAACTTCCAACCTCAAGCTAAGGAAGTCCGTGTTTTGAAAATTCCCACTGTCGTTACAGAGCAACCTCACCCAGCAGCCTGGCTGAATCCGGAGAGCTGCAACTGAACCGGAAAGTGCAGCTGTGGGTAGGCTCAGACTTCCCTTTGCAGCTGCCCAGTTCCCTACGAACTTGCCTGGAGTCATGAGGCAGCTCCGCTCCGCTGCTCCAGCCCCGCTGCTCTGCACCCTCGCCGTGCTCTTCAGAACGTCTCTGTCAGTGGACCACGTACCCATGCTGCTTTGGTCAACTCAGAGGTAAGAAATCTAACAAGAGGGTATCTCTACTTACTCTATTGCGCTCTGTGTGTGTGTGTGTGCAGAATATGTTATATATCATCAGCTGTGGTAAAGAACCTCTGGGCAATAAAATTACTCAATAAATAAAATTGCCTCTTGGCAATCGAACAACCTAACAGATGAATTTACCCATTTTTATTTATAATTTTAATGTTCTAAGGTGGGCAGGAAGAAGTAAATAAAACCCCTGTTCTTCAAATCTGAAGTAGATATGCTCTATTCACCCTAAGGCAACCTTGAACTCCACTGTTGTCGTGACTCAAAGGCACAACATAAGGCGGTCTCACGAAAAGGACCTGACCGAAAACTGCGTGAACAACCTTAATCCTTGCATTTCCTAGCTCTTGAACCTGATTTTTCACTTTAGTGTTCTTTTTAATGCAGTTTGGTTTTTTTTTTTTAATAGAATACACTGCTGTATGTATAGATATCAGTTGTTAGAAATAACTGCAGAGTCTTGACAGAACCAGACATGTGAAATTCAGGGGTTTGCATATACTTCTGAAATAAGACTTTGAACCTGTCTTGAAAGAGCCAGATACAGACCTCCTTTTTTCCAACCAGGAATTTTACTCATACAGACTTTAAGGATTTTACGTAATTACTTAGGATTTTCAGAAATATGGCAGCTTGGGCAGCGCAGTAGCTTCAGGTGGGGGTACTGGATATGCAAAGTTGTCAGAGGACTATGTGCCACTTACACAGCTGTCTCTGCAGGGCATGCACATTGGTGGCATCTAGGAAGTACTGCCCCAAGATACAGTAAGAGATTTGTATGAAAAGGCTCCTGAGGGGTTTATGGGATCACAGGACTGATTGGAAGGGGTAAGGGCAAAGTCCTGTTCTGGGTGGGAAGGTGACAACAAATCTTCTGTACTCTTTGTTTGCCTAAGGTGTGCTTTGGCCTGAGTAAATCACTTGACTTTCTCCTCCTAATTCCTAGATGCTCCACATTCTTAACCTGGTTTATCTAAATTGTAACTCGTGGAGAGTTCATCTCATACCCTCAGCAAACACATATGTGTTATACCTAGGTCCACAGGCCTGATCTCAGCTGGGTATTTATTCATTTCACTCATACAAATAATCCGTAACACCAGCAGTATTTGGAATTTGTCACAATCCAGCTGAGTGACTTCATCAGCATAAAATGCTTTCCTGTACCGCCATGTTGTTGGGGCACAAGTCAACCCTCACTTTTGCTGTAAGATTGGACAGAAGGGGCTACAGTGATGGGGACTCCTGTTTGGTCCCTGTGCTGGCATGACCAAGCTGTGTGTGCCGGGCCAGCGGGAGTTTTGCTTCTAACTCCTTTGGTCATCGACTCTTGTCAGGTCTGAATTCATGGGATTTGATTCTTTTCTATCTTTATTGCTTTGTTAATTCCCAGAGTATGACTTGTGATTTACTCTTCTGTAAACTGGGAAAGGAATGAAACCAATGGCTTCTTGGGAGGTAATTATCCTTTCAGCTATTTGTGCTGGATTGACTCTACCTTTCATGAGTCTTTGAGCCGTTCTTCAACATATGTGAGACACTGTGAATTATCTTGCTAGGAGGAGAATGAGACTAAATTCTGCTACCATTTATCCTAGTGTAAATCTTTTTTCTTTAGGCAAGTTTATTAAAATTTGAATTTGAGAGCTAAATCTTGTTAATACTTTTTTCTTTTCTTTTCTTTTCTTTTCTTTTCTTTTCTTTTCTTTTCTTTTCTTTTCTTTTCTTTTCTTTTCTTTTCTTTTCTTTTCTTTTCTTTTCTGTTTTCTTTTCTCATCTCGTCTCATCTCTTGTCTCGTCTCTTTTCTGTTGCTTCTTAATGTGGTAATTTTAAGACAGCAATTGGAGGATTCAGAATTTTTATTAACATCAAGAATTAGATTGATTCAGTTGTTCAGGAGATCTTTCTCCATGTATAGAAGCATGCTGCCTTTCTGGTTTTTTTTGTATGTGATGCTCTAACATTGAGAGCCACAGAAAACAGATGTGTAGGAGGTGTTTCTTTCATAAGTATCCTGGACATTGCATCCTTTTCCCAGCAGTAATTAATACCAGGTTTGACATATGTCTACCAATCTCTTAAGCATTTCCAGAAATGGAACCTCTGGTCTCTGCTGGGGAGCCACAATGTATATATAAAGTTTGATTAGGTAATTTTGACTTCTTTTTTTTTTTTTTTTTTTACCTGAAAGAAATAAATGGATGTCTCAACGCCAAAGTTTTTTTATATTCAGAATACTTAATCTGTTCACCTTTATACAACACAGGCATATGTAAGAGTAGTAAACCTCTGTATTTAAAAGCAAAGTAAATGTTGGAAAGAGGTTTTTCTTAGGATAAAAGTGATCCAGAGTCTAAGCAAAGATCAGTGCTTCCTTTGTCCTACTTCCTAGTTTATATAAACAACAGACCTGTTGTCAATATAAGCAAAATCTTATCACTTACTCCAGTTTGATCATAACAGCAAACTTTCCGCCAAGATGTAATTAGCAACTTGCTCTGCTGCAGATTGTTCAGGTTTATACAAATCTAGAACAAGAAAAATCAGGATAGCGGACTGATTAAACCAGTTTCATGTTTCCAGAAATAGAGCATTTGCTGGAAGAAAAGTTCCTCCTACCATGACCTTTGCATTTTTGAAAGATGAAGTTCTTGTGGGGCAGAAATTAGTTCTAGTGAAACTCAGTGGAACAATGGGAAAGGAGACTTATGTTATTTTATAAAATAAAGAAACAGTAACGGTAACTTTTTTTCGCCAACCCTTTACTCCATGCGTTATATCTTGGTACTTTGCAGTGGTACACGGTTTGCAGTGTGTGATCTACAGGCTTACGAAATCTGGAAACTACTGTTAAGAGTTTTAGGAAGGGTAACTAAAGAAGTGCAGCAATTATCAACGGATTGCTATTCACTTTGCAGAAACACGTCCTGCCAGTTTAAAACTTCAGTGATTCATTGACCAACAGAAGCTAAGATTCACTGATCTATCACCCTCTCCCAGCTTATCTGTTAGGATATGATATTGAATAATTGAAGGATAATACATTTTGCTCTTTAGAACTAGCCAGTGTTCATAAACCCAAATGTCAGAACAGCTATATTAGAAAAATGTAACACTTTTAAGTCTCTCTTTTATGCATTATTATTGTACTGTAATCATGCTATTAAAGATAATGTTAGATGTCAGATACAGATGAAACCTGCAGCTGACAAACACATGCAGTGTGCAAAACATACATAAAGGAAGTGTGACATAAATCCTTACAGAGACATTAGTAAATCAATTACCACTTTCCTCTAGAAAGAAAAATGCAGATCTTTACTTTGAGAAAAATAAGTATTTTCTACCAAACAACAGTATTTCTCCATTGAACTCTGGAAAAAGATGAAGTGGGAATAACTCAGTAGGTCACAGTGTCCTGCTTTTCACAAACTAATACTAATACATCATAATATTCTCCAAATAACTTTGGCATGGATAAATTAACCTTTATCTTAAATTACCCTTTAAACTTACATCTCCTGGTTGCTTTTCAAAGCAGTAGAGATGCAGAGGTTTCTCTTGCACGATTCACAGAAGAAACTTGATTTAGCAGTTTTGAACCATTATTCAAACGAATTTAATTCCCTCCATAGATTAGAGAGGGAGTCTGAGGAAATAAGTTCATTAAAATCAGCTTTTGTGATTGCCCCCTCATGTGTTTGTTTTAGGAATTATTTTTGCCTACAGTCATTGAAAATATGTTACTACCTTAATTTATGCTATGCTTATATTGAAAAATGAATCCTGTTCTGACAAATCTCTTCACGGCCAGGCTGGATGGGGCTTACAGCAACCTGGTCTAGTGGGAGGTGTCCCTGCCCATGGCAGGGGGGGTGGAATTATCTTTAAGGTGCCTTCCGACTCTAACCATTCTATGATTCTGTGATTCTAAATCCAGATTATAAGTGACTTTGAGAAGGCATTAATGCCAAATAGTCCATTTGCAGTATTTCTTAAAACTGCAAGGAATTTGCTGAAAAACCTGCTGAAAGAAGGTGGAACATAAAAAGGATACCGTGGAAACAGAAAATTGTTTTAGCTGCAACTTTATTGGACTTCTATATGGAGATACTGTGTGCTAGCATGCTTGAGTAGCTTTTTGAATTTTTTTCCTATGGTCATGAGTTTTCATTCTACTGCCACTAGTAATAATGGTGACACGTGACCTTTGTGTGTAAAAGTGGTATTTGAAGGCAATTTCCAAATTTTTTTATCAGCTTGTTTGCTTCTGCTGTGCAGGAGAAAATATTATTTCTTATATGGTAATTATAAGGTGACTGAAAGAGAAAACTGACAAGAATAACTTGTAGGACAGAGTTCAGAAGCCAGCTACAAAGCAAGAATGTAAACTCACAAGTCAGAGTGATAGGAGTCCTGTTATCTTACCACTGCCCTTCTGGGAGGCCCAGATACAAGAAATCTTGAAATCTTTGCTTCCATCAAAAATAAGTAAGTGCTCAAATCCCAGTTCTACCTAGGAAGAGCTCTGGTCAGAGAAAAATCTGTATGCTTAAACTTGTTGTCATGCCAGAGCAGTTAGGGACAAGAAAGAGGCAGAATACCAAGCTAAGCTTTCTTTCTTGTTTCTTTAGTGCATTTTCTGGCTATCGGAGGAAAGAGAGAGCAGTTGAGTTTTACATTTCCTCCTTTTCAGACAGTGGGAAAGTACATACATTTTCAGAGATGCTCGTCACTATGAGGCCCCACAACTGAGGACCCCAGGATGGTTCTGCGTTGGGGAGGTCAAGTCTGTCTTGCTTGGTGTGCAGATGACTGCACGAGGCTGTGTATCTTTGGACATAAAATTTTGTGTGAGCAATCAATAGCAGCAATCGATATGTGTGTCGGCCTACTGCCTGTCTCATCCTACGCCATCCCTTACCGATCCCTTGCTGCCTGCTTGAGGTGAAGAGTTCAAAGGGACGGACCAGTTCATTGCATTCAGGAAAACATACTTTCAGCTTATGCATGGTGCATTATCTGTGGCAGTCACGTATCTCCATTTCACTCTGCAGTTCCAGTAAACCAACCAGTAAACCATACTGACATTTCCTGCCCGAACCATGGTGAGAATATTGTCGCACCCAGCTGACAGTAGCAGCCCATTCATTGAAGGATGTAGCTTTGCCTACTGCAAACTATTTAAAAGAAGCAAAATAAATGTGTGTATAATATGGTGAGTATAAGTATCAGGCAAATGCTGCATTATAATAGAATTCTTAACGAACTGATGTAGATTTATTTCTCTAAAGATGATGCTGGAGTTACTAAAGTTGACTGCTAGGAAGTTAAAAAGTCTCAGAAAAGGTGCTTGCCAAGGTTAAATAGCTAACAAAAGCAGCTTGAAGGAGCAGGGAATACCTTAGAAGCAAGTATGCTTTAAAACAGGATCATTAAATTTCTGAGGTTTTGAGGTCATGACAAAAGCCTTTGCCATTGTGCTGCTGCAAATGACTTAGTTTTGTTTCATGTGCTTTCTGTTACTTTTTATTCTTAATTGCAAGTCTTAAAAGCTGTCAAAATATTCATTTTTTCCCTAATATTTGGCATGAAATAGATTTCTTTAGTTAGTTTTTTTAAATAAATATACCAAGAAATATGCACTATCATTTTCTTTTACACAAGCCATTTTTTAACATCTTTTAATCTAATCTGTCTCCTTTTCCTTTAATACCACTAGTGTTTTGCTGTGGCCATCCAATGCATGTAGTCAATATGAAACTCAGTTCCTGAATAGTAATTCAGAATCTTCGGGAGTTTTTCTGTTTTCAAATACCTTATTTTTAAAGATTATACTGAAATATTTGAGATCGTGAGGTTTGACTTTTCTGAAAAGTTGAGGCATGTCTATTACAATTTCTAAGTTCTTGGCTCCATAAACATAAATTAATATGGATTTCCAAACACAAATTAACAAAGAAATGAAGATGCTGAGCAAAACTAAGAAAATAGCAAATGATAATTTCTACCAAACAGAAAAAAAATCTTTCCTGCACAGCAGGGTTTACTTCTAAAGCTTGCAAAGCGACAGACAGAAGATCTACTAGAATTTAATTTTCACATTTGCAGCACATTGTCCTGAAAGAGTCTTCCCCATGTACTGTTTGCTCTAACCCCCTCCCAAACCCCAGTCTGGGAGGGGAGGTAGGTATCTAGGTCTGCAGACTGCACTGTTTCTGTCTCTGCTGTGGGTGCAGTTAGACGCTTTCAATCCACTCTCAGCAATCTTCATTGGGATTACTGGGAAGTCTTGAAGTGAAATACAGATTTTCCTTATCACAGAAACAACACTGAACCCCCCCTGTGTGTTCACTACCCCTCTTCTGCCTCCATCTTCAGAGACCACAAAGATTGTTTTCATTCATAAAAGCTTGCTGTGCAAGGGTCATTTTCAAATTGCTTTTGGGTTAGAAAATTTAATAAACCTCTCAACTTCACCAGATTGCAATCATATAATAGCTGATGCTGCAGCACACAGCAATTCTCTTTATTCTATTCTTTGTAATTAGAACCATTTAGAGGGTCTGGAATACCTGATTTCTCAGGCCTAAGCAACTGATGCGTGTTTGGGGAAGATGGGAGATTAAGCTTTAAGCTCTGGGTTTTCTGCAGAATGATACTATTACCTTAGTCAAGACACCTAGGTCCAAAATTTTCATAATAAATTTCATCCCTATAGACACATCGTGCACTGTTAAAATCCCAATCAGGTGTTGAAAGAATAATGCCACCTCTTGTTTTGCCCGTAACTGTTTTTGGTAGTAGTAAAACCAAATAGATGAGTTATTTCGCTGTCCAATCCTCACAGCGACAGGCTGGCAAAAGCGTTGTCAGCTTTCCTTGGTGTCTTGAGCTGTTCTGTTCAGAAGAGCTCCTACTTCTGGAAAGGTGGCTTTTCTGAGCTGCTTCTGCAGAGAGATTCCTTCATCACGAAAACTTTAGGAGAGAACATACTATTTACAGTAGCACTGAAAAGCCTCTTTTATTAAACAAAAGGTTTATGAAAAAATACTTGTTTATGACAACTTGTGGTCTAGCCTGAGTTCTCCTCTCTGGCCACCGAGATGTCTGGCAGGATTCCCTTTGGGAATTCTTTCTGAGGATTTTCACCATATTCTTCTTCTTTCCCCTTAGTAGCTAATTTTTTGAAAGATGCACTTGTGCTATTGTACACAAACAAGAGAGTAGAAAGAGGCAGTTATTT